ACCTACTAGCCATGAAAATTTTACTCTCTCGTTAAAATTTTTCAGGTTGTTATAACATCGTAAATCATTAATATGATATCAAATCAAATCAAAAATCATTTATTCATGTAGGACATTTTAGCCGTTTATGAACGTCAACTTTTTTGTATTAATCTTTTTTCCCTACTGTTCTTATTCATATTGAGAAGAACTAGCAAGAAACTCAACTGTTTTTTTTAATAGCCAATTTAAGTATGTATGTATGAAAATATATTAAAGATCTTTCTTATTACAATTGAGAGTACGATTCATTAGTATGATATCAAATCAAATCAAAAATCATTTATTTCATAATCAGACAGACAAACACTTAACAACTTTAATATATATACCTAATAGGTGTCAAACAAATATACTCGAACTATGCTCGTTATAGCATCGTAGAGTTTAATGGTACTTGACCATAAAAAGTGGGTGCTTCAAATTCCACAGTCCCGCCTTACTCATCTGTAACCAACTCATATTAATGTCAGCCCATTATATTTAATGTACATAAAATATGACATATGTCATAGTTATGAATAAACCATCTTTTTTATTAATTTACTTAACCATTTCTGTTGTGATTTCTTGATGAAACTCTTCATTCTATTTATTACCTAATATTTTTTATACCACTTTTTTTTGGTGGATGATTATGGAATGATGCACACGCCTGCGCTAACGGCTTACGCTGGCGGGGCACAAGTGGAGGATGACAAGATGAGCATGAGGTTACGTCAATTGGCCCATCGTGACAAATTCACTAGGAAGTTATAACGATAGTTTCCAGGGGGGACATCATGGAGGTTAACCTGACTTGGTACATTGCTAGCAATGGAGTAATTAGTTCATATTACTAACAATCTCCCTATACCTTATCAAAATTTTTAAGAGCAATGAGATGCAATCGAATTTTAGTACATATACGATAGCTTGGATGGTCTATCGGCTTAGCACAACTCTTTACATCCGATAGTCGTGGATTCAATTCTACAAAAGGTACAAATATTTGTATTCATGAGGGTGGCCGTGTCTTCAATTGTCATGCGGTACAAACATTTATATTCTAGAGTATAATCGTTTGTATTGGTCTAGATGTTTCTATTTATTTACTTAGATATTAAATACAAATATATTATATAATTATATGATAACACATAAATACTGTACAATACGGCAATGCGCAAAGTGCGTACCAACTATTCAGTAGGATGTTCAAAATTTTACGATGTGTACCTACTTTGAGTCTAGACGGCGTAAAATTACTCATTGGGTAGTAAACTTACATACTTTTACTTTCTGACTATTTAGCAATGTCTGCGGCTAGGTACATTGCAATGTACAGCTGTATTTTATGCAATACCTACTAATATTCAGGCGGCAGACAGAATTTTGTTTCAACGTGGGATCTACTCTATATGAAAATAGTAAACATATATAGACAACTTACTATGTAAAATCAATCAATAGTTAAGATATGGTACAACTGAGTCTGAAACTAAACAGAACTATTAGAGGCACAAGACAACTGATGGACACATTTAACTACATTTTTTGTGTAGAAACAAGTTATTTTGTTAGTATTGTTCAGCAATCAAATTTGTGACCATCTGACATATGGGGCAGAGTACTAAGCCACTAGGCCTTTAACTTTGTTATATTATAATTAATATATTTAGATAGAGATGTTATATTTTATACAGCCAAATATACACAATGTATTATTGTTTAAAGTCGACTTCACTTTTTTAAAGTTGGTCAAAATCTAAATATACTTATCCACAGTATACATACTCGTACATATACATATATGTACATATATATGTATATATATATATATATGTATATATATATATATATATATATATATATTAAAAGCTCTACAGTGTACTATTAGATTCTGTTTGGTAACTTGGTTTTTACGTTATTCAAGGTGTTTCATAAAAGTAAAAGTTTAGTTTATATATTAAATTAGCAACATTGTACAAGCTTTTCGTTTGAAAAATTTAAATAAGCACCTAAATACCCGTTTTTAGCAACTTGTTTCGACATTACTGAGTGGGTGGTGAAGGTTAAAACAATTATACTTTTTTATTACATGCCCAAAAGTATCTCCAAAAATGTTTCACTTAATATACAATCTAAAAAAAGTTTCTCAAGGTTCCGCAGAATCGATTCTAAAACCCTACTGAAATAAAACAAGAATACCTATACCATTCTAAGCAGCAATTGTAATAGTTTATTATTTGAGACAAATAAATATGATTATAAAGATGATAACTATATATATATATGTATACATACGTACACGTAAAACAGTATTTATTTAATTGAAACCCAAAGTATGAACAGGTTTTATCATCGTTATTTCATGAAATTTCAAGCGACAAGAGACTTAATAAAATATGCATGTAATACTTATCTGATGAGCATCCTGGTCTATGGTTTAACAAAGGTGCGCCGCCTGCATTCCAACGCGTACAGAACTCTTGTTTTTATTCAGAATGCAGACAGACAGGTTCCTCCGAATTGCATGGTATCACCATATTGTATAATGTCTCGGAAACCATCAAAGTATGTAATGAATTTTGATACAAGACTAGCTACTCGCTCCGGCCTCGCCCGGGTGTACATGTATTATATATATATATATATATATATATATATATATATATATATATATAAACCTTCGTCTAGAATCACTCTATCTATTAAAAAAACCGCTTCAAAATCCGTTACGTAGTTTTAAAGGGACAGACAGCGACAGCGACTTTATACTATGTAATGATAGTCGCGGGTGAGATTCCTAACACAGTATAAACATTTGTATTCATGAGTATGATTGTTTGTATTGGTCTGTGTGTTTTCTATATAGGTATATGCATTTATAAAAAATATATTTAAGTATACCTATCAGTTGTCTAGTACCCAAAATTGCATAAGCTGTGATTAGCTTGGCACTAGATGCGCTGTGTAATTTGTCCAAAAAAAATAAGATTCAAACGAAGTTGCGCAGATCACCTCATCTATACATATAAATAAAATTGGAGTGTCTGTTTGTAATATTGAAATAACCGTTTTTTACTACATGCATATGAATATAAATACGGTACATACACCAAAATAACATTTATTACCATTTTTGTCTGTCTGTCTGTCGGTCTGTTTATTCCGGCTAATCTCTGAAATGGCTGGATCGATTATGACGGGACCTTTTTTGGTAGGTAGCTAATGTAATAAGGAGTAACTACTATTTTTATTTTAGAAAAATAAAGTAAAATTCCACGCGGACGAAGTCGCGGAAACAGCTAGTTTATTATAAAGATAGTGTGTGTGCCTATATTTTATATAAAAGACCAGCACGGAAGTTTCTTGCTTGTTCTTGTAATGTGGCTACATTTCGAATGAGTGGTAAAATAATAAAATATGGCGATTCAAAAGTGGTTATATTAAATTTATTTGAATATAGATTGTTTCGTTTACTAAAAGAAACAAAATCGCGAGTAACTGCTAACAAGCAATTAATAATATATTAAAACGCTTCATTTTACTCTTTGTACCATTGACTAGGTAATTCAAAGCAAACTCAGTGCTATATTCATTAAAACACTTTCTCCTTTCGAGTATAGTGTACACAAATATTATGTCTCACCACATTACGTGGAAGGCCGTGTCTCCGTGTATTCTGTTTGATTTGTCAACATTATGCAAACAGCATCACTGAGAATGGACACAGCATCCTAAAACGGGATTTATAATACGGCTCTACACGCGGCTTCATCTGCGTCCAGGCCATTCTTTACTTCCCTACTAGTATAACTTGGAGAAATGGTGTCACTTCAAGGGAGACTTGCAACTGCGGAAGCCGTGTATTCTATTTGATTTGTAAACATTATGCAAAGAGCATTACTGAGGATGTTGGAACTCCAAAACGAAATTCATAATTCGGAATGGAAGCTATGTAAATTAGCTTTACACGTAGCTTCATCCGCATCCAGATGATTCATACTTTCCTACTAATATAACTGGGATGTCCATACCATCTACTCTCCTGTTCTTTGTGTCCATTATCCTACTCTAAGGAAGATCTAAAAAATGGGAAATGAGAGAGAATGCGCTAAAGTCGTACAAAGTAAAGTTAAAGTCGTTGCAACATTCTGGGGTAAAAAAACTAATATATGATAACACTAAAAGGCTGTATAAATATTAAATGAAATTTAACGTGAAGATAGATTATATCAGAAATCTTTTATAACATCTAGTATTAAATAAAATGTAACATTACAAAAAATACTAATATTATTAAAAATACAAAAAACAAACGCAATATCATTTTGTTAACCAATTATAACAAACCAAAATATAATTATTTTTGTTTATAATTTTTATCGGATCTATTTATTAAATTGCTTACAAAAATTTTAAATTTGCATTCTTGGTCAAATGTAACTAGAACATAACGTCAATGGAATAAAAACTATAATAATAGTAATTAGATATTACGCACATTGTTGTGATATTAACATTTATGTTAATGAAACTAATTTAAGAAAGAAAGTGTAAGTGCTATATATAACATAACGATTATTCAAAAGGTTAGTGCGTGACGCAGTTTGTTTCAGTTGTTAAAGTGAAATTAATAGAACCCAATGTCAAGGCTAGAATTTGATTGTTATGCTCGCGTAGACTTAGCATTACATGCATTTCTTTTATCTTCCTACTCCGCAGTATCGTTGAATAATTAAAAAACTTAGTATAATTGTATAAAGCTTTAGTACTTCTTCGTTTCTTTTATCCCGTCTGTTGGAAAGATCCGTTTCTGATTTACTGTTAAGCAGCATCAGTTACTTAACTAAAAGTAACATCGTGTGTCTCATTTATCTGTAATACATCTTTATGTGTAATACATCTTATATGTGATATAAAATAAACAATTTTTTCGGATTATAATATTAATAGTTTTGTTTCTATTGTTACAGGTCACAGCTTTGGCTGTGCTCAGCCTTACACACGCAAAAAATTCGACAGCGAAAGCAAAACCGAAACGACAGTTGGAGAGCATACGAACGCCTCAGAATCTGCAATACTCATTAGTTCTGCCCCATTCAAGAGTCACGCACTTCAGATCACTCACCAGTTCTCGACGAATCTCTCATATCCCTTCGAAAGGCGGCAAATTGCCACCATATGCCGTACAAATGGAACCGGTAGTTCAGTACTCCCAAAAAGATCCTCTATATGATCCAAATTTAGAAAACTTGGAAGATGCTGGTGTAAACAAGAATGAAATTTATGCTCAACCTAAAATTCTTAATGTACATGATTCATCAGATAGTACATATAGCCCTTCCTATGGTGCCCTGCCAACTGCTCCTCTGTATAGTCAAGATGCTCATCCTCATTATTATGAATCACCAGAGCCTATCATTGAAATCATTATTAAAGAATCAAACGAATCTCTTCCAGCACCCCCTCCTCAAATAATACCTAAAAAGAAGAAGGAACCGGTTCAAGTATTTTATGTCAAATACAGTAAAGATCCATATTCTAAAGACAAGGTTGTATATGAAAAACCTATTCCCGCAATTACTCCACCAACCAACGATGAAGATGAACATCATGAAGAGTATGTTACAGTTACACCACAACCTGCTTATGGTCCAATACAGACAACAACTCTGAGAGCAATCATAAAACCCGAATCAGAAGTTTATCACAGTGACAGCAGTGTTAAAATTACTTTTGGAAATGAAGGTCGCCATTACAGTGATAGACGAGAATCTAATACAGAAAGTCATGAAGCGACTGCACCAAGACCGGCAATTGCTTTTCCAAACCAACCACCGAGCCATATACCTCTTGAACGTTCTGTGTCACCTAAACCTCAACCTCATCATGAAGCCTCAACAAGAGGTTTCTCAAATTCTCAAGCTTATAAGCCTGTTTCACAACATGCCCAAAGTCGTATTCAGTTTCAGCCACAATATTTAACAAATGAACAGCAACTTCCCCGACAAGGTCCGTCGCTATCACCATTCAGAGTTCAGTCGAACATCAATCGTCAAAACTCATTTGGACCAACGCCACCATTTAGCCCAAGTCCTAGTCCTCATACAGCTTTTGCCAACAGTCCAGGACCAATACCTCATTTCAGTAATATTGCTCCCACCGTAGCCTCCCCAATTGGTCCCGCTTTCTCTACTTCTTTCCCCAGACCTAATAATAATCCGTCATTCCATGTTCGTCCAAGCCCTCCATCGTTCAATTCAAGACCTCACTTTAATGGACCACCAAGACCAGCTTTCCACAGTGGACCTCAAAGACCATTCCAGCAGCCACATACACAATCTAGGCCATTCTTTGATGAACCTAAATATTTACAGGAAAATTATCACACTATAACTTCCGACCAAGTAGATCCCCCAAAAGAACAATTATTGCCCAACAGACAATCTCAAAACTTTAATTTCATTCAACCTAGTCCAAGCCCTACACCCGCACAGTTCCAGGAGCATTCTAGTCGTCCTCAAATAATTCCACAGAGTCAACAGTTACCACAGCAAAGACCACCTCAACATTTTGTTGACATTCACAACAAACCTTCGTTTTCCATATCACCAAGTAGACCTCCATTTTTCAACTTGAAACCATCGCCTCCTCAAATAGAAGACAACCGACCACCATTCCAACAATTTAAACCCCAGCAACAACAGCCTCAACCACAGCAATTTAGTTTCCACCAAGGTGCTCAAATATTATCACAACCAACCTCTGGAAACTCTGTCCATCATCAACACACATTTTCAAGTCCCTCACCTTCGCCTATACCTCAAAACCAATTTCTTCCTCAACCGTCTGCGTCGCCTACACTATTTAATTTCCATCCACAACCGTCACCATCTCCAGAGCAACATCATTTCCATCAACAAAACTCGCCATCGGAAAGACCTCAGATCCCGCAATCTCACGGACCCTCCGAAAGACCATTCCTACCTCAGCAAAATAATTTCCAACCTCAAGCTAACTTACAACATCAACAGAATATACAACAGTTTGTACCTAATGGTGGAGAGTTAGTAGCATCTATTCCTAAGTATGAACAACATATTACTGTTAATAGTCCCAATACCCAACCGAATTATAGTGCCTTAAGCGAATCTGTAAAACCTACGCCAACTGCCAGTCCAACTGAACAATACCAACAGCAGCAACAGCAACAGCAACAACAACTTTATGAATCAGAACAGGAACAAGTAAGATTGCAACTAGCAGAAAATGTAAAGAAACAACAAGAAGAAATTCAAAGGTTACAAACTCAATTATTGCTTGCACAACAACAACAACAGCAACAGCAGCATCAACATCTACAACAACAGCACCTACAGCAAAATCAGCAATTACAACAACAAGAACAGCAACAAAGCAAGCAGTATGAACAAACCTATAAAGTTCAAAATAATTATAACCAACAACCAATACAAGTTACTTCACCAAAATCCCAATATGTACAAGAAAGGTCACGGGAACAGTCTAATTATGTATCTAGTACCCAAGCTCCAGCTTATTACCAATCTACATCAAGGACCGTAGAAATAAAGCCTACTACACAAAAGTATTTATCATCTACCCGTAACTCTATTAGCACAACGCCTGAACCAAAGAAGGAAGAGAAAAAGAAGAAGCCACAAATTGTACTTCCTGATGAGGTTCCAGACGATTTACGTCAACAATTATTGTCCTCAGGCATCTTAGACAATGCTGATATCAGTGTTTTGGACTATGACAAAGTAGGGGAAACGCCATTAGAATCACTACCACCAGATCAATTGGCAAACTTTTTCAGTGCAGGTGGAGCTCAACAAATTGCAGCTAGTGAACACAGACCTATTGTTGTAAAACCGAATGGTGAACAAATTGAATCAAGAATAGATGACGATGTTGACGACCAAGAAATTGCTGCTTCAGAAAACGTTGCTACATACGCTCTCCCACCACCATCAAAAAAACAAGCTGTGGAAATGAAAGTTGTACATTTTGATCCAAAAACAGCTGAAGGACAAAATATCGCAAAGGAATACGTAAAAGAAGATGCCACCCGACTAGATCCTGTTGCTTTGAATGATAAAAAATACAACAGGTATTTACCATTAAAAGTAAGTGGCAACCAGTTTCCTCTGCCAGATATTCTAAAAGGAAGAAAAATAACATCAGTTGTTGTTTTGGCACCTGTAGAAACAGAGGATCTTGGTGGTGACCACACAAGATCTGAGCGGGCTGCGAGTAATGGTTTAAGAGGGATAAAGTTTGTTGCTGGGGACAGTTTGCAAGATTTGCTCAAACGGCCTACCAAAGACAACTTTGAGAAATGGTTGGAAGTTGAAAAAAGAACAAACACAGACCAACAGTCTGTCATCCTTCTTGTGACCGGGTAAGAATTTAATATATTTCTTTTATAATACTGTAGCGTTGTATAGTAATTCACAGATACTAGCATAGTCTTTTTCCTTATGCGAAAGAACGCCAAATACATTCCGCAAAATCCACACTCAAGCTTTATCAATGATAAAAAGGTATTTGTTTCTTGCAAATATAAACTGTAAAATTACGAGAAGACAATTTGATTCAAAATACCGCAATCACGCATTCCTGCTCGCGTTATTATAACAAATTGCATTTTGTGCATTTAATTCATTTCTTTAAACTGACATAGAAACCATGTTCTACTCATCATATAATTTAAACTATTATTATTACAGGAATGACAAGACATCGGGAGACAGGGAAATTTTTATGTACGATATCTCATCGGGTAATGTCAACAAATTGAATGGAGACCTTTCAAGTGCTTTTGTGGACGCTGCAGAAAATAACTCAATTAGCAAAGACATTGAAAAACTAGCTATAGAAGGGGATGGCACCCCAGAGGAATTCGGAAAGGGAGACGACGAGGTAGCCGACGGTTCAGAGAACGTGCCATTATTAGTAGATTTATCTGGTTTGAGTTTAGATCAAGAAAATAGTAATCAAGTATCAATTTCGTCAGGTTATAGTAAAACGAAACATGGCCGATCGATACGAAGACACTGATATTTCTGACGCCGCACGGCGCAGGACCCTTGTAAATAGTCTAGTTTTAGTATTACTAAATTAAAATGGCGGCATGTTGTTGCCTAGTCGATTGTAAAAGTGATAATCAGGTTGTACAAATAAAGTACCTTTTTATATAGTAGTGATTTTTATTTTTCTTTGTCTACTTGATAAGCATCTGCCATGATGATAAGTTAGTTTAGTCTACCTTGAAATTACAAGAGTTTATTTAGTTAGTGTGTATGTAAGTTAAACACTAAGTAGAAAGCTAAGTAACAAAAGTATTGTACATACAATATGCGCAAGTACTGACTGCACTTACACATTTTGTAACAATGTACAAACTTCATAAAACCTACATAGGTTTTAGGTGATAGTATTAAATAACATTTTGTAAGTTTAATATCAAACTTTGTCTATTTTTTGCGACAAAATATAGCCAATTTTTCGAGAAATTCTCAAAACCCTATTTCATCCAACCATTCGTTACGAAAAGGTTAATTACCATTTAGTATTTAAGATTAACATTTTGTGAGTAAAATTTGATATGCATCTACATACTTATAATGAAGTATATACGCCTGTTATATATTTATCAAAATATATCTACACCTACTTATTTATTTATACTTGCACTATTTGTAACAACAATAAAATACAAATTCTATTCTATTCTATTCTATTATTGATAGCAATATATAAGTGTAAGAAGCTCAACTAAGTAATAACTTTACTCAAGTACCTCATATAATGACATTAGTAACGCCATCTAGTGACAGTAAGTTACAGTACAAATTAATTTCTTTACCATTTCGTTCTAACTAATTTGAAGTGAATTAGTGGGAGGTCATGCTTATGAAGCTATCAGTTATATGCCAATGGTCATAATACCAATTTAGAAAACAATTTCATTTAATAAAACATAATTTTAAATAATAAAAAATACTTCTCAGTAATGCTACACAGTGCATATATTATATAGTTAGGTATTTATTAATTGATACTATATTACAAATTTTATATAATTTAAATACTTAATATGATTTCTTTCTTACGTTTATTTAAAAATAAGATCGTAACGGGATTCGATTATGTGATCGATTTAATAATATGAATCGAATCGAATCGTTTTCTAAAATGGCAACACCATACAATGCGACTGTCAAATCGCCGAATTGTCAAACCAACACGTCAAACATATGGATTATTTATCGGAGTTAGTTTCTTGCCGCAGTGTTAAAATTCGTGGTTATTGTTTCTGATGACTTTCAATATTTGTATTTGACTTCAAATCATGATGGAGGGTTCCCTGAGTAAATGGACAAATGTGATGAAGGGCTGGCAGTATCGGTGGTTCGTGCTGGATGAGAATGCGGGCCTCCTCTCGTATTACACGGTAAGTGACGTCCACTTGCATTTCTACTTTTGCAAATACAGTGATTTCTTCGTAATTTCTCTGAGGTTACTCATACAATTTCTATATTTTTTAAAAAGTTGTAAACCGCTCTATATTTTACTGTTAGCCTTTATTGTTATTCACGTTTCTGTAATTAGAACTGTTTATCATGTTATTATTTGCTCTATTCTAATAAGACGAAAGAAATTCGATTAGGTGAATTATCATATTTCAAGGTTAAAGCAAATAGGTTATAGTTTACACAGTAATAAGTACATATATTTAAACATATCTGTGTGTGTTTATATTGTTTTAGTATGCATATTGAAACAATGAATTGGGAACATTACAATACATACTGAAACTTAGTGTTTACAATACAAGGTCGAAAAACAAACAAACTTTAGTAAACTGTTAAGATATAATTTCATTTTCCATGACTTACATTGTGTTTTCTTACATTTCAACTTCTCGCTATGCAACTATTGACAATAAGGCATCTCGTTAATTTAAATACTTAATATTAAATTTGTGAAGACTCACATTTATATAAAACTAATCTACTAATTGTTATAATATATCACCATATTTATCAATAATATAGTCAAAGAAATAAGAAATCAAAATTAATAATCCATTTATTTATATGTAAATAAAATGTAACAATAAAAAATAGAACTATGACATTATACAAAGCTTATAAATATATAATATTGTATTTTAAAATGGTTAGTGAGGGTGGAAGATGGGTGTTCACTGGCAATACAAAATTAAAAATAAATAATTACTAATAATAGATTAAAGTCATTAAATAAAAAGTTTGATCAATACTTCTGCAACATATTAGAGCTGCTGCTATCATTAGAGATAAAACAAGACTAAAAAAATTTTAACACATAGATTTATTAATCCGTCTCTAATACATATACAATTATATAATACAATAATATTAACAATCAATAAATATTTAATGTCAGTCTTCAAGAAAGAATTCTCATAATAATTAATTTGTTTTAACACTATTTCCATTCACATTACATTTAGTTGTGTAATTATTAATATAAAAGTTGTAGAACATATAATAAACTAATACAACATTGGGTATATACATTATACCAACTCCGAGCGGTGCTGGACAGCTTGGTAGGAATATTTGTGAGGAGTACACCAGGATTACAGTGAATTGCACCTTTAAAATAAAACAAATAATGTATTACAGTCTCATATTAATTATATAACAAAGTCTAATAACTACTCTCCATCCTAAGGTTGCCTGACGAAATCGCTATGTAGTGATAAGGCCACACCTTGTTACCTCTATATTGAAATTATGTTGTTTTTTTTACATTTGGTGTACATATTTATTTATGTAATTGTTATTTTCTTTCTGTGAGAGGAACAATGAAGAGTTTTATTCATTCATCCTTTCAAATCTGATTGTATTATCTGTTCTGTGGAATAGGACATGGCCTTTTTTAGCATATTTTATGTTAAGTTTGTTTTTGTAAATATTTTTCTATGCACAATAAAGAATATTATATATATATTATATTACTATAGCCATAAGTCTGATAACAGATAGGAAGAGAGAGAGAATAACAATTTAGCATTTAGCATCTACAAGTGGTAGCTGTGATATATTGTTGCATTTATATAGAACCATAATAAAATTGTTGTAAAGACTACTCTTGATACCACATATTAATGAGTATATGTGATTCTAACTGATCATAGATTTCTGGACATATAAATACTTTTTCTAATTAACCAAATATTCTAATAAGTTGCAAGTAAAAAATAAGAAATATAGACTACTCAGCCCCTTAATAATAATATAATGTGTCAGGACAATTCACACAGCGCCATCTAGTCTCAAGCTAACCAAAGCTTGTGCTATGTGTACTGGACAACTGATATAAATAAATAGATTTTTTTTTTTTGTAAATACATTCATACTAGAAAAGACACACAAATATAATAATAATAGGAACATATTATCATCGGAGGCACGGCGGTGTGCTGAACCGCTAAATCGAGACCGTCATTATAAAATTTATCCATTAGTGTTTATATAGTTTGCTTACCATTTGGAAAGTTGTGAGCCATTTCTTGTGTTTAGTGAGGAACTGTTTAGTTCTCGGGCTACCTTCAGCTGACAATAAGTAGTAACTGTACATGATAACATGTACCGCGTTGTTGAGCATTGGCGAAAATGACGTAATTCCACCTGAAATAATGTAAATAGAATAGAAAATCATTTATTAAAATAAACTTAATTTAAGCACTTTTAAATAGTCATAACAATTTTTTTTTTATCTACCAAATATCTGCAAATAAATACTTTATTAAAAAGTCTAAATATAAAAGTGAGTACATAGGTGTGGGTTGAGGCGATTTGAGTAATGAGCAATAGTATATTCATTGCTAATAATGATGATGACAAGTTTTTGGATGGCTTTTACAATTAAAAATAAATACACAGGTATATTTGTACGCATACATCTGCTCAGGATGTAATCCGAGATGCAGTAATCGGAGATATCAACCATCGACATGACATCGTAGTATTTGATATGCCCATATTTCGCTGAAAATATTTCGAGTCGGCCGCCGATTAGTTTGTTTTATTATGGGTAATTTGATAGAGATAAATAAATTTTTTATTTGTTTTCGAACACGAGATTCGGTTCGACTTTGTAAATTGACACATTTTGATCTGACTACCTTCGAAATCTATGTCTGATTACTAGTCTATAATGTTTTTATTTTACAATCCGATAAAAAAGACGTCAGTACGCTTAACTCTTCAATAAAGCTTATCCTAAATTAGTGTTTATACTTCAAATTATTTAAAAAATAAAACACTTATTCATATTTTAAAAATAAATTTGTGTATTAATATTACTTACTATTAATAATATAATTAATATTACTTTTGAGAGCAATGTAGCCAAAGGCTAACCTACAATTAGTAAAAATTGAGGTTACGAAGTCAAACCTGAGTAACACCGAAATTTTATGATTATTTAAATGTAAAAGTTGTTTAAGAAAAAAATTCTATTTATATAGTAAATCCTTTTGTAGGTATAAACCTTAGATGGATAATAATATAATAAAGACGAAATAAAATAAATTACAGTGGTCCATTAAACCATAATACTCTCACAGCGTTTAACTCCGTAAAGAATAAAATATAATTTATTAAAGCACCTTGCCGACCATTTTGGTCATAAAAATAGCCGTGACATTTAGCTGAAATAAGCCGCAGTCCAGTAAATTGGTCCCAGATACCATTTTATAACACTTTTTAGGGTTCTATAAACCTTATCTGTAGTGAGTCTGTCCGGCCATCGGTGAATTTATGTAGACACATAATGAAGTAAAGAAACTTTGTAAAAGAAACTTTAGTATATATATCTTATGGTAGCTTTTGGGTTCTGTCAGTCTATGATCTATTCGTCTAAATCAGCCGATTCTTGTCAACTGGTAAAGAATACCCTTTTTCAATATTTTACATCTCAAAGGGTTCATCTTGTGGTAGCTTTTAGGTTCTATTATCAGTCTATGACCTATTCGTATTTATCAGCCAATTCTTGTCTACTGCTAAATAACACCCTTTCTTAGTGCTTTCCATCTTAGAGCATTCTATGCTAATACGGTCTTAACATTTCAGCCCATTTAGATAACCCAGTGGATTACCTGTATCTGGATTAAACTCCAAAAGTTTTCTCCCACATAAATATAATATACATCATAAACATCACTGTAATAGATGTAATCCAACCTTCTTACCTCAGCTTACAGACTTTGATCACTGTCAGGTTTATCCTTCTTTATTGAACATCAGTCTAATAGTTATATACGATCAAGCAGCGTTAGTTTATCTACTCAAACTCATATTCTTCATTATAATGTATTATCATCAGACTTGTGACTGACTGACGTGACTAACTAATTTTCATTATTTACATCTAGCTCGTGAGCACGGCTAGTTCAACCTAGTCTAACCGCCTACCTAGGTAAATACCTTTATTTGCCATAAAATTATTCATGTTAAGACCAGGTTAACAATATAAATAGCGTGTATTAATCACAAAAGTTTAAAAACAAACAAAACTTCTTTTAAGTCTATATTTATTAAATATATATATAGAAAGGTATAACCATGACTTCTATGTGTTGTGCACTTACATCATCAGACAGCGCTATCAGTAAGGGTTATCGTTATGTCTGACCAACAGTTTTATAATCATACAATATAGTTCTTCAAGGGAATACTTCCAGCAGCCAATTACGGAAGAAGAGTTTATACAAAAGTTAACTTTTTATATGAACTTAGTCATTTTTTAAAAATTACATTTATTAATGTTCAAATAAGGTACATAACAAATTTAACTTAATTCCGCAAGTATATACACATTATGTCAATAAGATATTCTGCGACCACACTATGAGAATGCTGCAATATTTATTTTATCTGTAAACCTATCGCTGACTAACTCGTTTGTCCCACGACCTGAGACAAATTTCGGTATAGTTCAATGCTGATGATGCGGCTCTTTGATACATCTCGCCTTAAAGGGTTCGCAATTAAGTTCGGGTGAATACATTTCGCACAGAACAGTGCAATTAAACGGTTCATCGTAAAACGTATGTAAATGAAACGTCCAAATGGTTCTTAAATGGCTATCCAGACCATTATAGACCAGACAAATTAAAGATAAAATAGGAGTCGTGTCGTATCAACATTTAAAAAGCATGATGGAAGATCGCGGAAAGTGGCAAGAGCTCCACCGACTAAAGCGTAGTGTCTTAAATAATGTGTGAATAGACCAGAAACCATGAACTACGAGCCCATAAATCTCGAATCTTCGCTATTCGCAACCAGGTCATATTAGATTAAATACTATAAAGTAACCGATGTGGAATAAGGGCTTTTAATATACAATAGCAGGGGTAGTTCTACCGCATAGAGGATGAACAATACCCGAGAAGTGTCTATATTGTGACCTAGACGTTATAATCTGCCTTTTCATTCAAGGTTTATTTACTACAAAGAAAAGCTGAATTCAAGTATACTAATCCTACAAGAAATATTTTACTATTGTATATTTATAGACATATATGTTTATTTTTATTTATTACGTACGTGACCTACCCTTATCTTACTTTTACTTTCTCTATCCACCCAAAAGTAGTGTGGAAGATATTGCTTAGGGATAAGACCGCCTTTTGTATCAGTTAATGGTAAATTTGCTATTTTAATTTTTTGTTCTGTAATTGGTGCAATAAAGAGTCATATTTACAAAATGGATTCGGAGTATTCTAGCGTTCACGGTCATGATGTGCCCAATACCATCTTCATTGGAACACTTCAAAACTGTGTTTGGATTTCACAACTTTTAATTTCTTTATAACATACAGCAGCCGTGATATCTGTAATCAAATCTTACATGTTAATCTTGACCCACCTTCAGTTCAATTCAGTTAGAATTTTGCATACAATCAAATTTGGCCTCTTTCCATCTAAAACTAATATTTTATACATATGTGTACGCGTATTACTTCTCAGGCAGAGTCGAAGGTCATGATTTATTAATTTATATTTACATACGATACACATGGTTGAACTATCAACAGTATTGCCATTATTGATTCATTACACAATTGCGTTTATCCTAATTGAAGAAGATATTCACATAATATGCAAACTCTATGATAGTTACAAGAAATTATATTTTAAAATACAGAACCGTGTGCAGTCACTTTTTTATTAATGATTATAAAAGACTAAACAGGGTCTTGTATAGTAGTATTCGAAATGTTATTAACAAATTAAATAGGTCACGGAGGAGGTATTACAAGTAACGTATCAGAAATAGTAATGCAAAAAGAACGAGCGTCAACGTATTTTAGGACGTCTATAATTTATTTGAGAGGAGCATAAAGGGCGGTCCGATTTTAGAGATCAGATATGCTCTCTTTGTAACGATACTTCTCGGAAACGGCTTAAGCGATCGAGACCAAAATTCCATCGAAGGTCGACCTTTATCCAACCTCCATTGATCATCCTCTATCGTTTATCACTCAAAAAAATTTTGATCGGTCAAGGTCGAGTTTTTAAAAACAAAACACGCTCCGCTCTACATGTGACCTAGTGTGTAAACAGTACACGGTACGGTACGGTAATAAATCTAGTTATAGAATTAATCTTTTTCCAATAAACTTAATATTCAAACGTATATATAAGCACTTTCTAATAGTCATATTTTTTCCTACCACTAATTCGAAACGCAGATTCATCACAATTGGTATTCACAGAATACACATTAACAAAAATGATACATACGATAATCAACATAACAACCGCACTCAGTACTTGTGCAATTCGATAATATTGATGGAAAACGATAATCGTCTACATAATATCTATGATAATGATATGATATGATATCCTTCAATTCATCTAACATTCTAATTACACAAAAAGAATTGAGTATTCCTTGTTTTGGAACGAAAAATAGAGTCATCATATGAAATGTTTTTGCTTATTTTTCTCCTGTTTAAAAATTTGTTATCATTACTCGAATGGGCATCCCCATTCGTGTAATGATACTCAACACGCAATCCTACTATCAGATTAAGTCAGAGCCAGACACATTTCCGAGATTAATATTTTACGGAGTACCAACTCCTCACTAATACTACATTTCGTAATGAGCCTCGTATGATGACACAGTTGAGATAGCCGAGAGTTACCCTGTGATGCCTATTTATTTCAGTCATGTACAAAAGGCGTTAATTGCATGTCTTTTTTCTGTTGCAAAAGTAACCTTTTGACGTTGGATTATGAAGGTCCTTTTCGTACTTTTCTGAGTGTTTTGGTTACATAATCGACGTTATAACTGAAAGATTTTTTATAGTATAAATACTCCTCACAGTTGATAGTACCTATATACATGAGTTAGTACTTCTTGGACTGTTAGCAGATGATGATGATGTTAGTTTAATTTATATAATTCTAGCTGAGCTTGCAACTTCGTCCGCGTGATATGGTGACCTTGACCAAATAAAAAAAAAAAAATTAATTTACCCAAAAATTACAAGAAAAAAGGTTTTTCGTTTTATCTTCAATAATGACGATTTTCCATACAAACTTTCATTCCCTATTTTACTTTACCCGCTTTACATTTTTACAAACTTTGAATGTCATATTTATTTATATTT